GGCAGGGGGTTGGTGGGGGCTGGGCAGGGGGCTCCATGGGGCTGGGGGCTGGGCAGGGGGCTCCATGGGGCAGGGGGCTGGTGGGGGCTGGGCAGGGGGCGCCATGGGGCAGGGGGCTGGGCAGGGGAGGCTGTGGGCCAGGGGCTGGGCAGGGGTCACGTGCTGCGGGGAGCAGGCAGGGGGCGCTCTCCCCTTGGTCGTCAGTCCCTGTGCCGTGTTATATGCGGCGGTTCCCCAGCCGCCCTGCCCCAGAGGCGGCTGCATGTGGCGCCGCTCCACTGTCTCCCTTCTCTCCGTCCCAGGATGACCAGCTGCTAGACGACAGCAAGACACTGGGAGATTGCGGCTTCACCAGCCAGACGGCGCGGCCCCAGGCCCCGGCCACGGTGGGCCTGGCTTTCCGAGCCGGGGGTGAGTGCTTGGGGGGAAGAGGCCGTGGGGAGCCTGGGGGGCTGATCCTGCCTCTCTGACCCTCTCTCCTCCTCCAGATGACTCCTTCGAGGCTCTCCGCATCGACCCCTTCTCCAGCCCCCCGGAGCTCCCCGACGTCATGAAACCCCAAGACTCCAGCAGCAGCGCGAACGAACAGGCCGTGCAGTGAGATCTGGGGGAGGGCGCAGTGACCCACCCCGCCCCCACAGGATGTCTCCCCCGGCCCCCCAACACACAGCCCTTGCTTCCCCGACTGGGATCAAACCCCCTCCACCAGCCCCCCCGAAATCCACCTTCTCTTCGGTTTGGAGACAATAAAGGTTTGGCTGGTTTTGTGTTACCCGGGTCTGGGGTCTGACACTGAGGCAGGGGGGTTCTCCAGAGACCCCCCCATAATCCTCTGGGGCTCCTTTGTCGTATTGCAGGGTCCTGGGGCTGCCTCCTTTGAACCTCAAAAACCAGCAAGGTGTCCCACCTCTCAAACCGTGCTAGCCCCCATCTCTTCCACTCAGTACCCCACAGCACCCCCTCTGATCGTGCTGTCTCCCCCAGTTCCTCTTTATTACCAACAGGTCACCCCCCTTCTCACCACAGACATTGGGGTGCCCCAGGGCTCACATATAACAGAGGGGCCCCCATTCCCATCTCTGATATTGGGGTGCCCCAGAGCTCCCCTATAACATAGAGCCCCCCGTTCCCATCTCTGACATCGGGGTGCCACAGGGCAACCTTGTACCACATGGGCCTTGTGATGACAGGAATTTTGTCATTTTTATGACTCCCGTGTGCCTCGGTTTCCCCGGTGGGGGAAGATCCTTATGTTTGCCCTCAGCCAGACAAACCCCAGGCGTCTCACCCAGTGACCTGGGGCCCTGCCATGACTCCTCCCCTCGTCAGCCAGGGAGCAAAGGGGCAGGGGACCCACCTTCCCCCAGGGTCAGCCAGCTTGGGGCACCCATCCCCCCGAGCCCGGGGAGGCAGAGAGCCACCCCTTGAGCATTGGGGGGGATTAGGGTAGGTTGGTCACCATGCAAAGCTGGTCCTCACCTAGCCGTGAGATGCAGGGGGCTCCCCCACATTGGAAGGCCCCCTTTGACCTGAACCCAACCCCCAGGCTGTGTGCCTGCAAGGACCCGGCTGCCCCTTTTGGGGAGGCCCCTCACCCCTGGGACAGCCCTCCCTGCCCTGCCGGTGGGCTGCGATTCAGGGGCTCTCGGTTACGAGAACCCACCACGGCCGTGCCATGCTCTGCCCAGGTGTATCCCTCACCAGCAGCAGCGTCTCGGCTGCTTTCCCCTTCTCTGGGGGGCCCCTGACACCCCCCGGCTTGCATAGTTCAAACCCTGGGCGGGGAATGTGTTGTCGTATTTTTATGAAGCCTGCCTGTGCCTCAGTTTCCCCAGCGGGGGGGATGACATTTGCCCGCAGGGCAGCCGGGAGGGTCTGTCCACACTGCAGCGTAACCCCGGGGCTAGCACCACTTGCGTTAACCTCTCCAATGTCTACACTGCAGCCGGGGGCCGGAGCCCACTCAGCCACCCCCCAAAACAGCCTCTCTGGCCCCGGCTGGCCGGACGCCACCGCAGGTCACCCCGTGGCCTTGGGGGCTACATTTCCTGGGCTCCTGGAGCAGCCGTCCGGCGAGGCTGCGTCTACACTGCGAAGGAACAGGGCTCAAACCTGGCTCCCGGCCTCGCGGGCCGACGGAACGGGACCCAAGCCAGTGCGGTGGGAAATTGGCGAGGACGGGGAAGCTGTGCAGAGCCCCCAGCCCCAGACCAAAGGACCTGGGGGCAGGGGGAGAAGTGGGGGCTGCTGGAGGACACTGGGGGCTCTCACTGGAGGTCTCTGAGCCGACCCCGGAGGAAGTGGGGACCCCTGGGGGTCTGGCACACTGGAGGGAGGGGCTCCTCTAAGGGATTCTTCCAAAGCTGGGGGGCATAGTGCCCATCATGGTGTCTGTGACATGCCCTCAGGCCCATCACTGATACCGGGGTGCCCCGCAGCTGCCCTATAGCACCGGGTCCCCCAGT